CATCTCCTGGGATTCCCTTTTGAAAGCCTGAGGAATGTTTTCAAAGAGACATTTGCTAAGGGGAGGGGAGGGGAAAGGGGGGAGAAGGGAAAAAAAAAACACCAAGAAGAAAATGGCATCTTAAGATTGTGTTTTTCCAACATGTCTGAGGTTGTTGTGCTTCGTTCTCCCCCCGCCTACTCTCTTTGTCACCCATGTTCCTGCTCCATGCTTGACTGATGGGGTATTGGGCAGCAACAGACAGACGCCTGGTGACTGATTACCCCTGCCAAGTTCTGACAGAAAACCATTCAGTGCTGGGAAATGATAGATGTTAAATCTAATTTTAAACACGGGCACAAAATTCCAGCAGTCAGGTGCTCTATGCACTAACTAGGACACAGCTGATAGGTTAACGTGCCACTTACAGTCACCTGCTCTTCCCAAGAGTGAAACCCGACTGAGTTTTAATGATTGATGATGGGGGGTGGGGGGGGATCCAGGGAAAGATGGAGCGGATGAAGAAAGTGTTTGTGACCAGATAAATGTGAGAGGCGTTCTGACTCAACATACTCAATATGAGACGCATTATATCAGAGCCTGCTTGGCTGTGTGCTTTCTGTGCTGGCTGAGTGTAATCCGTCATTATGTAAAAAGGACATCCTGAGGCCATATACACCTACATGAGACTGAGTGTAATCACAAAGCCTCAGCCAGAACATTATTTTTATGCATGAATTCATCTTGAACCGCTCTTTTGGTTACACGGTTTGGGTTACTTCAGAATATGTTAAATGTTTTCTCGTTAAAGTTTCATAAGAGCTCAAGAACTTACCAATCTTTTTTTTTTTTTTTGGTAAAAAGTTTCAGAGTACATATTGGCGTAGCCTAAAGTTGCATATTCTGATTTCTAAGAACCAACGGTTCATTGAAGCTGAATGTAATTACTTTTTGTATGCTGCCAACCCTCACGCATCTGGCGTGACGTTGACACTTTCAGACTCTCACGCAAGAAATCTCACAGCTAATCTATATTATTCCATCATAAACCTATCATTAGCTACATCAGAAGTGTTGGGGTAGATTGCAAACCCTACGGCCTATTTACACGGTAATAAAACTGTTACACACATGTAAATGCATGTGCACGCATCTGCAGACTTTACTCGAATTGAAAATCTCACTCCCACTAGCCAACCAAAGTCGTAGCAGTAGTTCCCACCTTCTAGGACCTGAACCTGGTTGTCCAATTCTGCAACATCCGTGTTATTTACATTCCTGTTTAGCTGATTTACACCATGATGCCTCAAAATGTCAGGAAAAAGCCCATCGCTACAAAGTTTCCATTTTCAGAAGTGCAGCTGGTCCTTTAACACCACCTGACTTTTCCCTTCATAACGATCATTAAGGGCTGCTTCCTGCCATGGCTCGAACTCTGCGAGAAACACCGGTTCTCACCCTGTTCAGGTAAACATCAGATCTGTCACACACTCCCTGTGCATTAAAAGCTGGAAATAACACTGTCCATGTGAAGTATAGCTCATTGGCTCACCTCCTCGCCTTCCTTCTCGGATTCCAGCAGTCTCAATTCAGGGGTCTCTGTGTTTTATTGACTTTGCAAACAGCTCTGATACACTGAATCTTTCCCAGCTGCCTGCCACAGAGATAAGCAAAGAGAATAAAACATTTAACGGGATTGTTGCTTGCTTAACAAAAAGAGAGTGAAACATCTGCTTGTTTGGGGGTAGTGTGGTGATTAAGAGCATAGACTTCATCTTGGATGGATGTTGTATGTTGTTTGAAAGTCCCAGGAGGACCCCTGCTGAAATGTCCTTCAGCAAGGTCTTCACACCCACTTGCTAGAAGAAACTGGTATGTTGTTGCCAGGGTTTCACAAAAAGTGTTGCAAGATCTCAAAAGCAACATGTAAACTATAGTGTGTGTATTTTAATGCTTTATATTTTCCTAACATCACATTTATTTTATGGTGAAATAATATTTCAGTCTGAAATCTATTTTTGTAATAGGCAGAATTACACTGCAGAGTTATCGACATTCCATTATACCCACTGAATCTGTGTATTTTGCTCCTACTGGTATTACCTCTTGTTATACTAGTAGAGCTATAGTAGAGCTTTTCGCGCGAAAAATGTTTGCTGCAGTTGGGTGACTTTCATTTAAAGTTCTACTACCAGGCCTTTCACGGCTAAAATTCGTATGACTTGGGGCAGAATTGTCCCCAACTTGTTGCACGGCAACCCCTTGTTATGTGATTCCAGTATCATTGAGTAGTTCTTTCACGTTGACTGTATGCTTCTAATGAGAAAAGCAGGCAACCGACAAATACAAATAGAGCAGGTTGCTGGTGTAGAGTGCTTCACTGATTAGATGCTTCAGTTATAATACTTGTACATTTTAATCAACTATGTTTTATGAATATTTGAGTAGCAGCCCACAGAAGGTCACTGCGCTTCTTTTAAGTGATCTTGGTTTATGTTTATTGTGTTGTCTGGTTTATAGACTGTATTCATGTATTTAATTAAAGTAACTGTGTAACTTCTTTTTAAACTATCACATATGGTACAGTACTTGATTGGTCTTAGATCTTAGTATTTTTCTTAATATTAATCACCATGTGAAAGGTTTAGGTTTTGTAATGGATTAGAAACAGCCTTTGAAGTCTTGCTTAAATCTGAGAGTCCACGGAGGCCTTTCCTCTTGACGTTGGTCCCTTTCCAGCCACCATTGACTATGAGATGTCCTACAGAGTAACCAGGAAATGTTCTGAAAATGTAGAGGCCAGCATCATAAATGCACAGCATAATATGTGCTGATATGATGTTGGAGATAAAACTTTTTCACCAGCCACCAGACCTGCCATTTGAATCCAGCCCCATCTATGGACACTGCGGCATCTCTGGTACTTCAGATTCCTCCTGCAGTGCTTATATTAAGTCGGTATATGTGCGTGGGAGTCCTGTGTGATAGCTGTTTGACTTCCTACCTTGTACCTTGTATCCCATGCTTCCTGCAATGGTATCTGGATGTCCATATCTCGACTGACTGATGGCTATTTGAAGACAAATTTGAACATATTTGCATGTTTGATTCAACTGGGTCACACTAAATAACAACCGCTCTCCCCCCCCAAATGAAGCAGTTATGCATTGATTGATCTACTGTTCTTGTTCTTGGGTTGTAAACCTTCCTAGCTGACATAACCCCAGGTGAATGAGAGATTATGCATAATGGCTTCAGAAGCCTATCGGTTCCTGTTCCTCCAGTGACCGTGTCTCGCCTTGGCCAGCCAATTAAAACTTGTGTACATTACAGGCTTGCGTGAATAATGTAATACCCTGAGGTCTGCTCTTTCAGGAAAAAGGCAGGAATGTGTAATAGATAGGCAGGAGTATAATTATACTGTAATTACTGAAATTCTTTAATACAAGAACCTGAACTGTGACTAAAATAACTGCGTGATTATGCGGGTTTTGACTGTGCTGTTTTTTCCTGCGAAAAAAGTACCAAATCAAAAAATAACACTTAGTAATTACTTGGCTTTTGGTGGACTTATTTGGATTTAAAAGTAATAGCATTTACAAGCATTGAACTAAATGGAAACTGTAACACATTTTACCCTTTATTGCTCATAGTCCATTGTACATATATTCTGCCATTTTTGAAAATGACCATTACAAATTTATATGAAAACTTGTCTGTTCAAGCTAGTATAAAAGATATTTGGGAGGAAAAAAAATCATGATAGTGCTGAAGATGAATGAGCAACGTGTGTGTGTGTGTGTGTGTGTGTGTGTACTGTATGTGTTTGTGGGTTATGTATGTATTATATCGTGGGAAACAAATGTCTCCACAATGTGATAAAAACCTGTTATTCTGATGTTGTGGGGACCATTTTTTTCATAAATCAAAAAAGTAAAAATGCCAAAAGTCGTGTATTTTATTTATTTTTTGTTATCTATGGTTAAGGTTAGGGCTGCGAAGGGGTTAACAATACAATGTTTCATATCTGATGAGTCACACGGAGACCATGACAAAATAGGATCTGCCACATTTCTCATTATAATGGGGTATATTTCTCACTATAATGAAATGCGCATGTTGCTATAACATGAAACTATAATGTTAAAAAGTGAAAAGTATCTTGTTAGAATGTAATACTAATTACAGCTTGAGAATATCTGAGAATAATTCTTCTATATCTGACAGGTACCACCACAGTTTCTAAGGGTCAGGCTGAGTAACAATTTCTGCCCCACCACTCTCAATGCACTCAATGTCAGGCTACCTTACAGCATTGATTCTCCACCTTGCCCCCCTCCTCACACAACTTTGTAACTCGACTGAACTCTGCAATCTGCTCATTTGTTTGCACTGTCTGTTCATTTTGCACTCTGTGTGTCCAGTTTGCACTCTGTGTGTCCAGTTTGCACTCTGTGTGTCCAGTTTGCATCTTGTTATTTCCTTGCACAATCATTCTCACTGTACTTCCTTTCTGCACTTTATCCTACAGGCTACTTCATGCATATTTTCACAGAACCATAATTTACACCTATTATCATAATTTAGATTTTATTACCATGCGTATTCCATCCATCCATCACCGTAACCGCTTAATCACAACTGGGGTCGCGGGGGGGACTGGGGCTTATCCCGGGAACAAGGCACGCAGGCGGGAACCAACCCCAGGCAGTCGCCAACACACTGCAAGGCGCACACACTCACACGCACACTCACACTCACACTCACACAACTACAAGGCCAATTTAGACTCGTCAATCAATCCGCCCTGCGTGCGTTTGGACCGTGGGAAGAAACCGGAGCCCCCGGCAGAAACCCACATGAACACGGGGAGAGCATGTGAATTCCACAGAGGAAGGACCTACACCCATCCCGGGGACCGAACCCAGGACCTTCTGGCTGTGAGGCAACCATACTTATTATATTTGTATATTTTATTTGCATCTATTTTGATGCTGCAATTCATTAGTTCTGTACCTGTACTCAGCTAAGTGAAAATGAAGTTGAATTTTAATCTAATATAATTCTAGTCTTCCAAACATATATAACGTAATAACAAATACATGTGTATATACCACTCAGCCTCCATTAAAGATGTGTATCTTCTCCCACAATAAGAAGAAATTGGGCAAATTTTATTTTGTCATGGTGGCAGCAATACATTGCTGCATAGATCAAGCCTGGCAGTGCCTATATCTCATAACTTGTTTTAACTGTATTTCAGGATTTGTTCATAAAATGACATATAGGTATATTTGCCGTATGTATCTCTATGTCCACAAGGCAATGGATATTATGCTAGTGAGCTGGCAGGTTTAAGCAATTTCTTTGCAAGAGAAATGTTAGGTGCATACATTTAGGTGAACATTCACTGGCTATGGACACTAGCGTGACTCCATCTTCCAAACGCTTAACCCAGAGTGCATCATGGTGGAACCTGGAACTGCATAGGGCTCATGGCAAGAGTCCGTCAAAGGGCACAAGAACCGCAGTGGTTCTTTAAATGTGGATTTCAGCATTTTCCTAAATTACATCCTGCAGAAAAAAATAAACAATTGGGTTACTGGTGTACCTATGCTGCTGACACCATTTAGTGTGGGGGCTGCAAAATAGACCAATTATTTTACGCTATAAGGACAAAAGCGTTTGGGCTGGAATGCCTCTCTAGTATTTCACTAAGCAATTCCCCACCCAGAAAAAAGGCAGATACACAGTCACACCTGAAAGTGAAGTTGTCAGATTCTTTCCCTGAAGCAATCCCACTGGAAACAAAATCACTAAAAAAATGTAAGGTGAAAAATTGGTTTCATATTCCAAGAATGAATAACCCTACAGGGCATACAGTGTGCGCTGAGATAAAGTTCAGGGGAAAAAGCCCCCCCCCCCCCACACACACACACACATTCTAATGAACTTCGAAACTAATTTCCTGCCTGAAGTTTCCAAATGAAAAAGTAACAAATAAGTTAGTGGGTAACATTTACTCTGACAACTCTGCCACATAAGCCAAATTGTTTCCTGCAAAAGGCTGGGAAGCTCCCAAAAGGAACGACCATGCGTGACGTTCTGCAATCCCTATTCCGTGACGGATTTTAAAAGCCACATTACGGGATTGACAGGAGAGCGTGTCGGAGTTCTTGGGAGCTGAATGTCAGATGCAAACTAAAGACAAAGATCATACACTGTCTGGGTTGATAGTCTGTGAATATTAAGCCACTGAACATTACTGCAATGGAGCCTTTCGGTTTATAAGACCCTGAATTGGAATTGATGCTACTAGTGGTTAATTTTTAATTATCATGAGACTTTGATACTTCAGTAACACTTTACTTAAGGCCATGTTTTTAGTCATTTATAAACACATTCATAATGCATTATGATGCATTCATAAAGCTTTTTAAACAGCTACCAATATTTATAAAAAGGCATAAGACATTATAGCCATGTGTATTATGCATTATGGCTGCCTTATGAAGCTCTCATCTATAATGCACTATAGATAACTTTATAATGCAGTACAAAGCATCCTTATTGCTTATACCAACCATTATAATGCATTATAAAGGTATCTCTGGTGCATTATAGATGAGAACATCATAAAGCATTAATAATGCATAATAAACATGGCTTTAATGTGTTATGCCTTTTGATAAGTATTCATCGCCATATTTATAATGCTTTTTGAATGCATTATTTGTTATGAATGTGTTTATAAATTACTACTTACCAATACTTCCTTTAACTGTTGTTATGCAATTGTTGGTATATAATTAAATACTACTTTGGAACTTGGTGTAGTAAAAATGGTGCAATTTGCATTCATATTCATAGTTTTCTATTAAATGTGCTTGTCCCACCATATACTGAGTACCTGAGTACTTGCTGTTTCCTTGCATTAGTAATAATCATGCACTAACAGATGCTCTTGTCAGGATAGCAAATGGAACCACATGACATGGGTGGGGGACGGGAGTTAATGGAAACAGCAGTGCAAACAGAATCAGAAGCAGTTTTAAGCATGAATTGGGCTGGGTGGACAAGGGCTAGACCAAATCAGGGACTGAGCTGGATTTCCTGGGGTGAGAAGCCAAAAGCCACCTTTGCCAGGTATCCCTGTCACACCTTCCCATGTGCATCACGTGTGGAATTCAAGTTCCCAGGAAGACACTAGCCGTTTATCAACACTAATGGAGTTACTGATCTTAATGGCATAGCAGTTAGGCTGAATCAAGGTCAAGACAGTAATATACATACTGTACCGCCTGCAATGTCGGTGTCCTTTCAGCACAAACTTCTGTTCATTACCTTCCCAATGAACCACCTGAACTGCTACAAAAACAAAGTCATTTTTCAGTTTGATTTCAGTTTGAAGAAATCTTTCCCCGGAATCTGTATAGATCAATATACTGTACAGTGACCTTAATGCTATCAAACACCACTGTAATGCACTATTGTAATTTAACTGAGAGCCAATGCACACATGCTGTACAGATATCCTTACAGCAAAACTATTTTGCAGCATAACAGTTGCTGCAGATTGCTAGATTATTATGTTATGCGATTGTTCAAGTAATTTTGATGCAGCCCATACCCTGTACTTCACCTTTAAAGGGGAAAAACGTCTCTACTTCATTCTGTTGTGTTTCCTCATGAACACATTCTCAGACTTTATTTTTAAAGCCTGTGTTTCCTGCTACGCACCAATAGGAGCCTGCAGTCTTCTGTCCCTTCAGCATAGTACAAGCTGAGGATTCCCAGCTCTCTCCATCGCTCCAGACTGTAATGATGTCAACTCAAGGCTGGAACACAGACCTCGGGAGAGAAATGGGGGACCGGTGCCGTTTTAAAGAAGCGCTGTGTGAGATGGAGAGCCCTCCCTGAAATAGAGAGCCCGTAAAGGCATGCTGTCACTTATTTAAGAGACGCACGTCCCGTCCCACTGGCTGCACTGTGATTTGCAGTGAATAGCCTTGCTGATTACTTCCATGAAAAGATCTGTTGATGCTGTATCTTCGATCGTCCGCTCTATTATCACATCGGTCAAATTGGTTTTTATTAATATGCAACCAAGTTGTCGCAAAATGATTTCTGGGAGAATTCCCAGAGAGAGGACAGAAAAATCCAATTTGCCAATATGGGGAGAATAGGGATGAAGCAAAATCCCTTTGTGCCCTGCAAATGTCTTAATTATAATCAAATTAAATGTTAACCTATATAGCTCTGCTGTCAGTAAGGGTTTTATGCCTGAAGTAAAAAAAAATAATTTAGTGTGAAATTTGCCGGCATGGAAAATGAACACTGGTCCAATGGCTATAAGAACCTCATTGTTTAATTTGACACGGTTGTTATTAAGCTCTGTTTTAAACGTGCAGTGCGAAACGCCGTCAACTGCTCATTATTTTATTTTTCCGTTGGCCCAGCCAGAGCTGCTAGCCCTGGGCCGGGGTTGGGAGAGCCCCGGTGGGTGAAGTCACACTGAACGCTGGCTGAAGCCAAACGTCCGGCGGTAGGAGCTGTCCGCGTGATGGAGCATTTGCACGGAGAGGCCCTGATAGCGTGCCAGTAGGGTTAGGGACTGGATGTACCTCATCTGTCAAACCTTGCCCTAACCAGCAAACACCAGGGCCTGAAGCCTGCTTTCGAAAGGCAAACTGATTTTTAAGAGAGATAGATGAGCGGCAGGCTTATCGGGTTATAGATGTCCTGTATAACAGTACGGGTAATTACACATTACCCCCGGCCCTTCACTCCGCTATAAAATACTTATGGCTGAACAGAAAAAAAAAACAGATATAGTTCATTTTTAAGTGAGTTCTGTAGCTTTTGTTTTTCTCTCTAGCGATTCTGCACTGTACAAATTGGTGAATTTCAGGCTAATCACTTTTGAGAAAAGGTCAGTCACCTCACCCTGGCTGACTTTATCACTTGTTTCGATGTAATATCATATATCTGGGCTTGTCCACACCTCAAAGAACAGACTGTAACTGACCAGAAGAGAAGTTACAACATTTCACAGAAAAAAAAAGCCATGAACTCATAAAAATAAACATACTCTCTATGAAGTACCTACATGTATATAAATGTGTGTGTGTGTGTATGTGTATATATATATATATATATATATATATATACACACATACACAGTGGTACCTCAGTTCTCGAACTCATTGAAACTCGAATTTCTTAAAAGTCGAACCAGCCAGTCCGAAAAAAAATTACCTAGAGCTTGATTTGAATCTCAGAAGTCAAACCGTGAATGCCGACCTAAGATAACTTGTACGGGCGGGGAAATGAGTTACACGGCACGTCTCTCAGCGGAAACAAAGGGTTAAAGCTTCAGTCTCAGCCTGGCATTCGAATACATATATTTATACAGTAAAAATACATATAGACAATGATAGACAGTAACAGTAATTATTGATATATAATAAAATAAATTAAAAAATTATTATTCAGTATTTTAATTTTAATAATAAACCATTAATACGTTTAATTATAATATTATTGTTGTGCCGAGTGGGACGGAACGGACACAAAGGTGTAGACGTGAGGGTATCGGGGAATACGGGGTTTAATTACAGGTAAGGCAGGCAAAATGCAGACGGACAATACAATGACCGGACTAGGGAAACAAACTGAAACGTGGACGATATACAGAGAACTAGTGACAACAACCAGAAACAGCTGATCACACAGGGATTCCACACGGGGTTAATGAGGGGGCGTGGCACACGGAAGGAGCGGACGATCGGGGCAGGACACATTGTTTGGATACATTTATTTTCTTACTTTACAAATTACTGTTTTGATAAATGTGCTTAGATGTGTTTAGTACAGTATATGCTCTTCTTGTTTAATCCGGTTCATTTTGTGTTTAAATGCTAAAAAAAACACATTTAGGTGTAATTTTTTGGGGCCAGGAACCAATTAATTGGTTTTCCATTATTTCTTATGGGGAAAATTCAACTCAAACTTTTTAGGATTTGATCTGCAGTTCTGAACGGATTAAATTCGAGTTCTGAGGTACCATTGTGTGTGTGTGTGTGTGTGTGTGTATATATATATATTTAAACATATATACATAATACATACACACATACATGTGCACAAAAGTCTCATATTTTGTTATGGATAAGGTTAGGGCTGGATAGGGGTTCAGATCGTCATGTTGGGTTAGAGTTTTCCCCATAGAAATGAAGAGTCCCCACAAAGATATAATTACGAACCTGTGTGTGTGTGTGTGTGTGTGCGCGCTCGAGCGGGTTTACCTATCCTTATGGGGACATAATGTCCCCATAACGTGATAAATATCCGTCCCCATAAGGGAAAACTCTATTTAATAAAAATCGGTGACTGCTATGAAAAAACTAAAAATGCAAAAACTCTTGTATTTTGTTAGGTTACTTATGGTTATGGTTAGGGCAGGGTAGGGGTTAAGGTTGTCATACTGTAGTTAGCGTTAGCATTTTTCCCATTGAAATGAATGAGCGGTCCTCATAAGGATATGTTTACCCTACATGTGCGTGTGTGTGTGTGTGTGTGTGTGACATATGCATAGTTGCCTTACCTATTAGTGGATTCCACTTTTCCCATTTCCAATTCCTTCAGGGTGAGAATGTCATCTCATCCTTTCTTCAATTCTGAATATCCTGGACCAGGAGGAAAAATTTTCTATTGCCCTGTAGCATGCATAATTTATTTGCTGATTCCTCTACATGACACAAGTTTTATTGCATGACATTGTATCCAGCAAGGTTACCACACTCGGGTACAACAGCTGTCCCCCTGCTGTCCCCCTGGGATTGGACACCACATTTTTTGAGTAACAAGTCCTTTTTTTCCATACTTATTTCACTGGCCAACGCTGCCCAAGGTCTCAAAACAAAGATTAGAACCGAGACAGCTAGCCTGGGGGCCACACAGACTGAGTGGGGAACCCAGTTTGTTTCAAGTTCCTCGTCAGCTGCTGGGAAAGGTAATACATTATGCTGACAGATATTTTGGGAAAGTTGTCGTAAAAACCCAAATAAAATGTTGATCCATGTAAAAACACTTCACATGAAGTTCTGATTCACTCTCATCTTGTATCCATAAACTCCAGCCCAAGGACATTTGTGTTCTCTGTTTAGCTGTGTGTCTAAGGACCAGGCTTGTGGCTGTTATTTACCCTCAACCAAATATGGGATCAATTGCCTCTGGAATAAACATTAAACAGTAATACAAGAAGTAAAAACTAAACTTGACGAATGAGAGGTCTCGTATGCTCATTTGGTTGCTTGTCCTTCTGTTTGGTGTGTACTTTTTACTATTGTGCACAAACGAAATCCCAAAATGAGTGACTGTTCCCTGTTTTAATAAATTAAAAAGTACCACAGTTTACTGTGAGGTATGTTGTTCAGTTATAAGCTGACATGATATTAAGCCTACAGATAATGTACTTATGTCATCTGAAATTGACCAGACTGCTGTAGGGTGAACAGTTGGTTTGTGTGAAAGATCTTGCTGTACCTATCAAATCCTCAAAAGCTTGGAAATTGAGATCTTCTGTCAGATACCACAGTAAGTGTCTGCTCCTAAAAGGTGCAGACTCTGTGGCGTGTTACTAAGATGATAGTAAACATCATCAGCACCCAACTGCCAGCAGTTAAGGGGCACTTTCTGTCTAGATGTAGGAACAAGGCATCCAGGATCGTTAGAGATTTGCCCACCTTGCACAGCACCTCTTCTGGTGTCATAGGTTAATTTCCTCACGTACCACAAGACTGAAAAATAGTTTCTTCCCCTGTGCTGTTAAACTGCTGAACACTGTCTGACCATCTCTCCAAGGGCAGGTGCACACATGCACACAGTCATACACACATAACATTGTGCGATATTTGCTTTCTTTTGACTACATTTACGTTCATTCTCATTACCGCTTAATATGCTGTTTATTATCGCACCTTATTCGTCATTGTCTGGGACTATTGCACGTTATTTGTTGTTTGCCTGTCTTGGACTTGTTAAATCAAGGAATACCATCGTAATTTGATTGTTTTTTGTTCTCCGTAATTCAAGGATAATATAGACATCTTACCTTAAATTAGCAAATCTGTGCATTAATGGATTTTGAAGGACTGGCTTATCCTCAAGGGTTCCCTGAGTTTCCCTGGAAAGGTACCAAAATACAACAGCCCTAATTTTGTTGGATTATTGAGAATGAAATGCTGAATGGCATTTTAATCTTCAGTGTACATTTAGATTATAGAGCTGCATAAAAATTGTGAAAAAGAACTGTCCTTCAATACTTCTGCCCTGTTCTCTTTTTCCCCTTTTTCACATTTGAAATCTGAGATTGCACCAATTTTGTTTCAATCTTTCTTCATTCTCGACCTGCTATTTGATCCACTCCTCCTCTCCTCACTGCTAATGACTTTTTTGAGGGGGAGAATCTAGCAGCCAATTCCTCTTCACTTGCAGTCTATAAGTATCATTACTCTGACCAGCTCAGATGATTGTGTTGATCACACACAGATCTGATAAAAAACACTCAGTGTAAAATATCAACTGGCCTTTTAACTGTATACCTACGCAGCTGTGTCACTGGCTGCAGCTGGATTGCCTGACAGGTGTTTGCATATCACCGAAAGCCTAGTGAGATGCACAGGGAGTGGTATCCAAGAGACAAAACCCTAAAAGGTAGGACATACTGTAGGGGTTTCTCCAGATGCCATTGATGTAACTACATGCATGAATAGGCAGGTCATTCTTACAAAGGTTCAGTGGATGTATGGGGCAGTGATGTTAAACCTGTGCTGAAAAAAACATTATAGTTTTTTGTTATAACATCACCCATTATTATTATTATTATTATTATTATTATTATTATTATTAATGTTGATGTTGTCATCATTATCATCATTATTATTATCATCATTCAATTTGTTACATTCTGTCTAGTTATTACATAATGAGATGTTATATCTCCTCCCTGTTATATGTTATAGCACATGCGATATTCAATTTACAGTCTGCTTTTTCTCTCCTGTATATGCATGTTTGGTCTTTTTCAGTTACTTTGGGGTAACGGAAAGGTAGTTCTGCAATGTAAGCATTCAAAAAATGGTACTCTTTGATGTGGGACACCTGCAGAGCTCACACTCTGTAGTTGACCTTTGTAAATATTTTTGGTGGGTAAATTGGTTTTCGATTTTGGTCGAGCTGTGAGAATTTTTGTATTTTGTTACGGTTATGCGATGCTGGAATACTTAGATTGATACACACGTACAGCCAATTAATCAATCAGAGTTGATGCAGATTGATATCCCTGTGGGAAGTTGGGATTATTCATTTTAAATTTCCCATGCTGGCCAAATGAAAAGATTAGGTCACCTTATGGCATGAGCATGTGCTGCTAACTTCAACTCTGCATCTGTTTCCTTTGAAATTCATTGTAGATTTGATTTCAAGGTATTTAGGGCGTCCCCCTGCCTTGTGCAATATGTTGCTTAACGTGAGTTCCAGCCTCACAGTGACACTGCGTGGTATTATTAGTTAAGATGGACGATTTCCCCGTAATTAAAATTAGGTAAGCAATGATCAGATATTTTGTCTATGTGCTACTGTGTCCTGTGAAATGCCGAGCTCACACAAGCTAAAGGATTATTGTCTGTTCCCACTCAAACTACTCTTCTCTCTTCAAGGGAGGTTGTCATGGAAACTGCAACATGTCAGAATATGAGAGTCTTTAATGACTGAACAATTATTCAGACTCTGCGAGCACTTTAGGGTCAGGTGGATGCACCACTACTTAGTATAAAAGGGGCAGTTTTTTCTACCAGATGTAATGTTAGAATGTTTACAAATCCAGTCATGAACAATTACTGTGAATCACTGTCTCGGTCAAATAATTACTTTCACCCTTCGTGATATAACATTAACTTTTAAAAAATCACACTGACTGAATTTATAATTAATCGGGGAAAAAAATCAGTTCAGCTTTGCAGAAAGGTAGTGAAAGTCATCCATCTATTTCATTATAATGCAGGGAATGTTCATTTCTCACTGAATAAGCTATGGAATGCATTTTGTCCATTGTGAGCCAAACAATCCTGCTGAGTCCAAAAAAGTATTGTATAATATGTGTAAACATATTGCTTGTCATAAGTAGTTAAGAATGTAATATTTGTACAGGAAATGCAAGACTTTTTTTCAGGATCAGTATTTGTCCATTTTCTATGAGCACCTATTTGGTACTCGGCTTTGATGCGTCTGGAAGTGAGGGGACACCTTGGATGAGATGCCTTCACAAGGCACACAATGACACACTACAGGCAATTTAGAGACACCGAATTACCTCACCGTATGCTTTTTAAAACTATGTGTGGAAAGCTAAGAACTCAGGGGAGATCCACTTAATCACAGGGAGCTGGACACGGCATTTAAGCCAGAAACTCCAGAGGTTTGAGGCTACAGTAATAACCACTGAGGCTCTGCACCTCTATTACCCCACTGTCCTTAATTGTTAGTATAAACAGAGCAGTGTAGACCTTAACCTTCCAGCTGACCTTCAGCTGCTTTCCCCTTCTATGTCAATTCACCAATAAATGCATAATTGGATTGTGAGTCAGTTTTCTGTGTGTATATATACACACAGATGCTATTGGTGGGGAGGATTATTGCCTTCCCGCCTCCACTGCTAGTCTCTGATTTGATAGAGGTAATCATTTATCCCTGATAGATTCTGACATGCTGTCACATTGCAGCCTTTGGAAAATGAGTCTGTCGCTGACGTTTTTGTAAATGGGGCAATGGGATGATTTTCTACTCCAGTGGTTTTCAATTTAGATTAAGAAAAATTTGTGTTGTTTCCAGCGCCTACCAAGTAAATCTTGGCACAACTGTGTAAAGAGTGTCAGACTTGCCCTTTGCATGAGTGACCTCGGTACGCTGATGTTTAATTTTTATGCAAATTGCTTACTACTTTACATATACTTGTGTTTAGATTTTGTTTAAATTCACTACTGAAATTAATTTACTTTGCCATAGTACAGGGTGGCATGGCGGTTCTGCAGCAGCCCCTTTACTTTCACGCTACTAGCCTTGTAGGTCCAATCCCTACTGTCTGTGAGTAGCATTTGTGTTCTGCGAAAAATGGATGGATGACTCAACATGTCCCGTAGCAATATATACGTGATCCAGCATAATTATGTAGAACCTTGTATCATGTATCATGCCATAGATTTTGACTAATCTTGTTCATGAATACGTCATTTATCTGAAGTTGTATTTATCATCATCATCATTATTTTTTAACAAATATAACAACAACAAGAAAAATTATAATAATAATCATGCTGGTGAGGATGATGATGATGAATAGTTAGAGGTAAGATAGGTAAAAATCCATGTTTTAATTACTGCACAATGACCGTGTAATGTTACATTTGAACTGAAAAGGCTTAGCTATTAATGATCTAAAGGGGTCAAAGTAGCACGATATTAATCATGACTAGTGTGTGGCTGCAATACATAATTACTATATGGTGCGCCAAGTGTGAATAATGTGTGAATAATGAGGCATAAATTCTACCTAATCAGTAGCTAATTTAACTTTGTCGCATTCCTGTTATGATTTAAATAACTTAAAATAAAAGAAACACAGAAAAGAT